TGAAAAGTCAATGGTATTTGGTTTGCAGTTGTATTAGCATTGGCACATCTCATTTCCATGGAGATTGTTTAGCCCTGTACCTTCAGTCATGGTTCATTGACTTTGAATATTTGCATAACTTACATGTTAAAGTATTGCTATTTTAATTTCAACATTTGCTTTATCAAAATAACAAATAGGCGAGACATATCTCTGTGTTAACAATTTATTATAGTTTGTTCTTATGTTGTACTGTTACACCACTGTCCCAGGTCCCATACACTTAACGAATAAGTTTGATCTATGACACAATATAAATACGATATTAATAAAAAAAATTGTAGAACCAGTGGCGAATCCAGAGGGGGGCGTAGAGGGCGTACACTCAAAGAAGACATGACTTATGCAATGCCAAAATAAAAGTATCGACAGGCAGTAGGATAGTTAGGATTTAACCTTATAATAAATATGTATCATGTTATATATAGAAATAGCAATCTCTTATAGAAAATAAACGTGGATGTGTATTTATACATCCCAAAAAAAACATTCGAAAAGAATACAAATTTAGTTATGTTTTAATTTGTTGATGACAAAATCGATGTTATTGCCAATGTAAACAATATTCAAAGATCTTATTACAACATAAATAAGATAACCTTTACTAATAAGTTTGTTTAAAGGTTCGATGAGTTTACACGGATCACATAGTGATTTCCGCGCTTTTAGTACAATATTACCATAAATTTAGGATGTGAAATACCGTTTTTAATAAGTTTTCTACAGGTACAGCCAAATTTACTAATCAATTCTTTGTATCTATGAAAGAATTTAGTAAATTTTTTAATTAATTTATGGTAACGAAATCCCTGACTTAATAATTTACCAGTGATGCATTGATTATGTTCGCTAAAATCTATGACATCACTATACACACGGGCATAACGAAGGTGATGGGATATGATGGAGCCAAAGGAACATCACCTTCTAAAAAAGGAAAATTAACAATAGGGAATAAAAAATCGTCTCTTTTGTCGTAAATTTTAGTATGGAGTTTCTCTTTAGAAATTGAAATGTCTAAATCTAGAAAAGGACAACTACTTCTGTTTATGTTAGATTAATTTAAAGTAAGTTCCTTTGGGTAAATTTAGAGAACTCTGGATTATTTAACGAAAAAATATCATCAAGATAACGGTAGGTATTGTTGAATGTGTCAACCAACTGTAACAATGACGTTTCTTTACTGAGTTTGGCCATAAACTGTGATTCATAGCAATACAGGAATAAATCGGGGCGCAATTAGTGCCAATAGGAATACCTACTACCTGTCGATACACTTTATATCACTTATACTATTAAAATTTGGATTTTAAATATTTGACACATCATAGGTTTCTTACAAAGAATAAATGTGGTCAAAGAACTGAAAAATTTAAAATTGGACTTTTACCTTTTATGGTCCAATATCCAAAATCTAAATACACGATAGATTCAGCATATCATAGAACCCCAAGAATTTAATTTTTGATGAAATCAAAACAAGTTAAATTTTGGACCCTTTATACCTCTATGTGGACCAATTTGATAACAGGGCCCTGAAAATCCAAAATCTAAATACAAGGTTAGATTCAGCATATAAAAGTACCCCATTTATTCAATTTTAGAACCCCGATTTGGACAGATTCAGCATACCCTGGAGTACACCAAGAATTTAATTAATTTATTTATTAATGAACAATGTGAGCTTTGGGTTCACTTTTACAAAAAAAAGAAAAGAAAAACGATTTCCAAAATATTATTCCCCATTAATACAGTCCTACAGTTATCCCCAAGAAATCGTATCAAAATGATGGTGGATTTAAAATCAGCTTTTCAGCCACACATTCCAAAAAAACACCAAATTTTCAAATAAATTTGTCACTTTAATTATAAGTGTGTTAGTTGATGATTACCACATGTTTTCTTTTCTTGATAATATGTGGTAATTGCTGCATGAATTAATTAATAGTAAATACACAACACTTATCCATATTCATAAATGTGAATTAATTACAAATGTTAATATGTAATAAAAATTGTGTGTAGTTTTTAAAGGAAGAAAAATAAAAATTTCCATTTTTTTTTAAATAATAATAATAATAATAATACATGTAATAATAATTCTTTATTTTAAAGAGGGTTACACAGTTAGCTTTAAAACTAATCTTCCCTGAGGCTCTCGTGAAATACAAAGAATTACAAAATAATCAAACAAATACACACATTAGCTAATGTATAGGGAATTAATACATCACAAACTTTCGTTAATTAATTTTAATATTCAATTTCCATGATTAATTATAAAAATGTAAAAACAATTTCAATTAGCCTCATTGTTCCTGTCCTGGAGTGGTAATATCAGAAACTGGACTTAATCATCTCTCCATATTAACAGACTCAGTTTTTTGTTATAAACATCTGTTTGTTAAGTTATATTATCTGTCCCTTTATCAGCATGAGATGACAGATTTACAGCTCTACTTAAACATTTTATAATCTAATAATGAACAGTAAATTTCAAACTATATTTCTTCTCTAAAATTAGATAATCATATGATGCTATATCTATTTTTGGGTAAAAATTGCTTGAAATGCAATCAAAACCCTATGGTACTGACTTGATATCTATATCTTCCAAGGTTTATCACTACTTTTGATATACACAAAATATGGACATTTCCAGAAATTTATCAATGAGGTATATGATCAGATATTCATGTTACAACATGATATTCTAATTGGCACAAGCATTACATAACTTGTGCAAGGTGCTGGAATCTAATATCTGTTCTAAAAATATCAATGATGTCATTGTTAAAGTAATCTTTAAAATTGGAGTTATCTTCCATTGTCCATAATTGTAAATTGTAGTTGAATCAACTACAACCAATGCTTTATACAATGCAATGTTTAATTATACCCCACGCAACGAGATGCGGAGGGTATAATGTTTTTGACCCATCCGTCCGTCCGTCTGTCCGTCAGTCCGTCAGTCCTGTTTCTTGTCATCGCAACTCCTCTGATACCACACAACAGAATTTCATGAAACCTTTTTAGATAATAAGGACATACTATGTAGATGTGCATATCGACAGGAAATTACGGTTCAATTTTTTTTCTAGGAGTTACGCCCCTTTGAACTTATTTGCTTCAATGTACTACTGCAACAGTTTGTCATCGCAACTCCTCTGATACCACACAACAGAATTTCATGAAACCTTTTTAGATAATAAGGACATACTATGTAGATGTGCATATCGACAGGAAATTACGGTTCAATTTTTTTTCTAGGAGTTACGCCCCTTTGAACTTATTTGCTTCAATGTACTACTGCAACAGTTTGTCATCGCAACTCCTCAGATACCACACAACAGAATTTCATGAAACCTTTTTAGATAATAAGGACATACTATGTAGATGTGCATATCGACAGGAGATTACGGTTCAATTTTTTTTCTAGGAGTTACGCCCTTTTGAACTTATTTGCTTCAATGTACTACTGCAACAGTTTGTCATCGCAACTCCTCTGATACCACACAACAGAATTTCATGAAACCTTTTTAGATAATAAGGACATACTATGTAGATGTGCATATTGACAGGAAATTATGATTCAATTTTTTTTTCTTATCCAATTTATTTTCTTACACATATTTTATTTCTCCAATGACAATGTGGGGACGTGGGGTATGTGAGCGCGCTCACTAAGGTTCTTTAATTTTACTTCCTTCTGACAAATTAAAGCAATCTTTACCCTTCAGGGCTTATAAGCACTTTGATTTAACTATGACTCTGTTTATAATTTCTATTAATTGTGCAATACAGCTCTGATTAAATATTTTATATAGCATAGTTTCTGAAACAGAATGAATGTGGTCTAAGTACTTTAACAATTTAAATTGGATATTTACCAATTATGGTCCAATATCCAAAATCTAACTACATGCTCAGATTCACAATTAAAAAGCAATCCATAGACTTAAACTCAAAACAACAAACATACCAAACTCCAAGGAAAATTCAAATCGGAAAGTCCCTTATCAAATGGCAAAATCAAAAGCTCAAACACATCAAACGAATGGAAAACAACTGTCATATTCCTGACTTGGTACAGGCATTTACTTATGTAGAAAATGGTGGATTAAACCTGGTTATTGCCCTGAAACTAGAAAATCCTAGTTTTTTTGCTCCTTTTGGGCCCGGAATTCCAAAACAATTTGGGCCATGACCCGCAAAATCAATCCAAACCTTCCTTTTGAGGTATGATACCATGTGGTAAACTTTCATAGAGATCCATACACTTATACACAAGTTATTGTCCTGAAACAATAAAAATGCTTGTTTTTGGTCTCTATTTGGCCCCTAATTACTAAACAGCTACAACAATAACTCCCAAAATCAATCCCAACCTTCCTATTGTGGTATGTAACCTTATACTAAAATTTTATAGAGATCCATACACTTATACTCAAGTTATAGTCTGCGAACCAAAATGTCTATGGACGACGACAGACATTGCCATAGCATAATACAAACGCAAAAAATTTTGTGGTCATATAAAAAATGCATAAAAATGTTAAAAATTATCATTTAAGGGATTTGTTTTGGTATCGATTTTGCACACCACAGATATACTTTGCACTGACTAAGAAGATATTTAACCAGCTGAGAAAGGAGGTCATACTTTACTTTGACCTCTTGTGCATTAATGGCTGACATTTTTCATCAGTATATTTTTTAACCATCTGGAATAGTAAAGTTACAGTAATTATATGTGTGCTATACCTGTACTTTGTTTACAATTTTAGCTATTTGAAATTAAATAAAATCTTTAACTACATGATATACTAATATGTTAGTAAATTTGTACCAAATATACATTTTAAAGAAGAAAAACAAAAGAACAAAAATATACTGTTGTTTACAGAAAATTTTCTACTATAGAAGTCACTTTAAAACAGAATAATAAGTGAAACACTTACTGTTTCTTTAGCTTTTGAAGAAGTTATGGAGACAACTTTTTTATACTTCTAAATCTCTCCTCTGTTGGTCTTTTTGTGCTATTTCATATCAATGTATTACTCAGGTATTTCCTTTCTGTGTGCAGTGAACAGATCATTGATGAGGATTAATTTGGGATATTTTTTTTTATATGTCAGTAAAAGTGTAGAATTTACCTGAAAAAGTTGAAATATGAATATAATTGTGTTTAAAATGTATACTGCATTTATTTAACTTAAAGATTTAACATTTTGATCAATACATTACTCTATTAATAAAAAATCTTACTACAAAGCCTAATGTGCCTCATTGCATTAACCAAAGTGAACTAAAAATAGAAAAAAAAAATCCCTGTGATATATTTAACTTGCCTTAACCATATTTAATTTAACTTTGCAGTAACCATTGATTTTCTGAATTAAAAGGGGGGATGTTAAGTCTTGGCAAATGTTAACTATTGAATATATTTGACAATTAAAGTTTACTGCATATTGCAGTATGAATAGAAAGTAAAGATAAAATAATGTTAATTGATTTTTCAATGATAATGTCTTTGTACTGCTCCATAAAGCCATTCAAACTTATAGTAATGTATTTTACAGTTGAATTACAAATTGCATACTGAAATCTGTCATGGTGTTTTATACAACTTATGACTTTAAAAGGTTAAAACAACACATTTAACACAAACAGATTTCTGGTAATAATAACAATGATAATACTGTTAGAAGAAATGTGTGTTTTGATTAGAAACATTTCTTTAAATATTTTTAAAGCTTTTTAACTTACATGGTCGTGTCATCTGCTCAATATTACCTGTCATCTTAAATTCATGATCATGAGACAAGCACAGTTCATTTGTTTTTATAGTCTACCATACAAAGTCACTCAAGATGAAAATATTTTTTGTGGTCAATCCACTTTCTCACCTTAGTAGGTTAACTAGGTTAAGTAAAATGTTTTGATGTTGGCAGTCAGTCATATCTCCATATATTTTTTGGGATGCTATCTTTGATTTGTTGAAAAGTTGAATTCATATACTTGTATTCTTCTTTCAATTTCAATGGATAACTTAGTATTACCGGCTAGTAGTTTGAAAAAACAGAAAAAACAGCATGTCCAGTCCTTAGGAAAGGAGAGATGGACAAGTAAAAAATTTTGCCCACTCTGACTTATTATGGATGGGTATAAGCCTGGGACAGGCAAATAAATATATGACAATGTTTAACATCTTAGTGAGTGCTCAATCATCTTCCTTACTTGCAAAACAGAAAGTGTAACAGTCGATGCTTATAATTCATAGCAAATATCTATAATAATATGGGAAAAATTCAAAGTTTCAAATCATTAGATCAAAAGTGCTGCATTCCAAATAGATATAAGAAGATGTGGTATGAGTGCCAATGAGACAACTCTCCATCCAGGTCACAATTTGTAAAAGTAAACCATTATAGGTCAAAGTAAAGCCTTCAACACGAAGCCTTGGCTCACACCAAACAGCAACTTATAAAGGGCCCCAAAAATGACTAGTGTAAAACCATTCAAACAGGAAAAACAACGGTCTAATCTACATAATTTAAAAAACGAGAACCGAGAAACACTTATGAACCACATCAACAAACGACAACCACTGAACAAAGCCTGTACAAGATCCTTAATAAATTGCCCCATTGACACGTCTCCTTTTATTCATATGTTATTTTTGCTTGAGGATATCTTGAATGCTTTTTAAAGTTTATCAATCCCCTCCCCTATATCACAGCAATGTAGTTAACTATTCATAAAATTGAAAATGGAAATGGGGAATATGTCAAAGAGACAACAACCCGACCAAAGAGCAGAAAATAGCGGCAGGCCACCAATGGGTTTTCAACACAGCAAGAAAATCCCGCACCCGGAAGCGGGCTTCAGCTGGCCCCTAAATAAAAAAGTGTACCAGTTCAGTGAAAATGGACGTCATACTAAACTCCAAAACATATAAATGAACTAAAATTAAAAAACATACAAGACTTACAAAGGCCAGAGGCTGCTGACTTGGGACAGGCACAAAAATGTGGCGGGGTTTAACATGTTTTGTGAGATCTCAACCCTCCCCCTATACATCTAGTCAATGTAGAATATAAGTCAAACTATAAGTGTTGTAAGTTGTATTTCTTTCTTTGTTGATGTTCACTTGTGAGATTGTTGTTTATAGTACTGTAAATTCAGAAATTATTGCGAGGTTTTTATTATTGCGACAAATGCGACAGAGTTGTAAACGCAATAATTTAAACTCGCATTTTGAAATATTTTATATGAACTAAACAGGATTTTTCTCAAAATCGTAAAAATTAAAATCGCATTTAAGTCTAAAATGACAAAATCGCAATAATAAATGCACGCAATAATTTCTGAATTTACAGTAGTTTATAAAAGTTGTTGTTGTGTGTCTGTCACTTTTATCTCTCTTGTATGTAAGATCACTTTTGTCCCTATATAAAACATAATTGGTATAACAGTTGGTAAGGCTTCCATTTGAACCCCTCTTATTGACGGAATAAGCAATTATGCATACATGAACAGGGATTAAAATGGAAGTCTTGACAGACTGTCTGTATATAAAAGATAGGGAGCACAGACCACTGAGACCAGTATACCTTGTAGCTATACCAGATTAAAATGTTAACTGAGATATTTAATTTGTGATTTGATTTAATTCTTTATTAAATGAAAGTCTGAGAGCTGTACATAGACTTTGCACAATTTGGTTATTTAACATGAATTGATAGCTTGTGCTATTCAGACTTATGGATCAGTTACTTGACTCAAACTTATGGTAATTGCCAGTTGCAAATGAGTTTAAAACTTTATAATATTACTAATTTAAGTATCCTATGACTAGTTTGTAAAATTATATTTTTTTTTCATCTTTTTTGTCTCATCCGGAACATGCATGAAATGAATATCAATTGACAAGAATTGCCAGTTTTACTTCCAAAGGTCAATGGTTCTCTTCGGTTACCCCTGCTTCCTCAACCAATAAAAACTGGCCTCCATGTTAGAGTTAAGGTTGATGATAGTGGCTTTAAAACGCCAGCAAGCAAACAAACATTATGATTGAAAATCCATCAGATAAAATATTTTTAAACCAGAAAATATAGCTTTCTACCAAAGTTAAAGAGTCTACATCATGTTGTCTATCTGTTGTTAGTTAAGTATTCTTGCTACCTACATTTATAACTTTTTGTTAATTTCTTAACCCCCTTGACTTTTTACAAAGCATACTTTACAGAACCTTTTTTTGAAATATTTTTTCTGGTTGGATTTTACTCAACTTAATGCAAATTGAAGAAGAATTATCACAGGTTTTTTTTGTATTATATTTTATTGTGAAACATTTTCAATTTTAAGATGATATAGACATTATTATATTTTTGGTTCAATTTGTAAAAAATCATAGTACATGTTCACAAATAGGAGATAACAATAGGGACTGAAGATTAAATTATGACAAAATACACAAATATACTTTAGAAATTATTTGTCTTTCAAGGCATGTTATGCTAAAATCCAATATCAAATAATAATTTGAAAAAATATGAAACATATTGCAAAAAATTATAAGTGATGAATACTTATTGCATTACACTGAATTTTTTCCCATTTAAAATCAAACTTTTCAAAGCATGTATCTCCAAATCAAGCAATTGCACATATCAGCTAGTCTAAATAAATATGACATCTTAAAAAATACCAATTTTACTGCACCAGATGGGCATTTTGACAATAAATGTGACTCTTCAGTGATGCTCAAGGTCAAAATATTTGAAAGTCCAAACCTTACTAAAACAATAAAGAGCTAATAAAAACCAAAAAAGGATAAATAGTATAGCCAAACCTGGGCAAGTAAGGCTATTTTAATTTTTTGCTGTAAAGTGTAGGAAGGCGTCACAGCAAAAAATAAAATAGCCTTTCAAGACATCATAATCATTTGGACTTCATGTACATATCAGCCAGTACCTTTTAACAATATCTATTGAAAAAGTCCTCAGTTATAGAATTTTTTTTCTTATATTTCAGTATATAACAATTAAGCCAACTTATATTCTCAATATATAATTTAATTTTGGATGTAACATGTCTTCTGATTGGCTGAAAGTTTTATATCTATCAGCTCATATACATAATTTTGTCATATGACGTCATCAACGTTTTTTTTTTTATGATTTACTCATTAAAAATGGAATTTAGAATTAAATTATAAGGAATGACTGTAATATTTTTTCTGTCTATTCGAAAATAACCTAAAAAAAAGTGTTGCACACTTTTAAATAACATGCTACACTGGTTATTCAGTGTGCACCACACTTTTTATGTTATTTCTTCATAGACAGGAAAAATATTACAGTCCTTCCTTATATAAAAAAAATCTCAAATTATTTTTGAAACATTTAATTTAGAAAACAGAGTCAATTTAATTAGATACAAATTGGCAATATAATAAATGTTTGATTTAATAAAAACAACACAGTTGCAGTCAACATTGTTTTGCATATACAAGACATCAGTGTCTTGTTAAAGAGAACATGGGATAAATAATTCAGTGAAGGGTTAAGTTGCATTGATATTTAAAATAGGTACATTTGTATGTATATGAAGTTTGACCTAGTTTTTAACGGTTATCTCGTCCTATTTGTTGACACAAAACTTGTGTAGAGGTAAGTGGACTTCCTTGGAAAATTCATTTTCAAACAGAAGAACTTTTACTAAGATTTATAGAATTCTGACGGAGTAAATTATACATTATACATATATATATATATATATTGCAATGTATGTGCATAATATAAATTACTATAACATGGACTGCATGATCTGTTTCATGTAAATTATTTGTCCAGCTCTCATAGGTGTGGAAATGTAAATTAATCATTTTTGAATGAATAAAAGAAGATACTTGGTATATATGTCAAGTAGATAACGAACCCCTCTATATACAAAATTCCAAGCTTTTAATCTCCCCCATTATTGTTGCTAGACTAACCCAGGTGTGAATCAAGGATTTTGAAAAAGGGGCCCCTGGCAAGCCAAGCTTTTAAGTGATACATGTAAAAAGTGTATGCATTTATCTTATATGAAGCTCCATAAGGGGACTGGGCTCTCTGCCCCTTCTAAATCTGCCATTGGTAATGACTGAATATGACATTAGATCTCCAAATAAAAAGAAACATTAAGATATAATGACAAAAAGACAACCACTGGCAAAGTTCCTAATTTGAGAAAGGCCCATTAACATGTGACAAGCTGAAACTAGATCTCAACCCTCCTCCTTTCAGCCGTTATATTTATTTCAAATTATGAAAAGAAAATTAGGATTCATCCATAATCATGATAATTGCCAACCATCTTCAAATGTGAAAATTAACAAACTAAATACTTTTATAGGTCAGGATTAATATATTATTACAGGTAATAATACATGGCTACCTGTCATGCCTGTTCATATATCAAAATTACAGTTGATAAAAGACTGTAAGCATGTAAACTTATAGATTTACCTGTATTATAATAAAACATGAACATGTGATAACTGACAGTCAAATATTAGTCCTATTGATAATTACATACCCACATTGTTTCAGGACAAGGTAGTTCACCATCAGCCAATTTACTGGGAGCTTTCACTGATCATATAGCAGGTATAGCCTTGGATATAGCATTGAAAAGTAATATACAACCAACAATGAGTAGAACAGGAAATACATCATCTCCAGGAACCAGACAATATTCTACGGCTGCCGGTCACAGTAATGCTGGTAGGTTTGTTAAGGTTAAGTTTTAATATACATATTCGGGTAGTAATTAGTTGAAACATTTGTTTGACATAGTTTCATCATAATCATGGAAGAAACTTGTATGTCATGATATTTTTCTACATCATATTATAAAATACATTTATTATGTAGTTGCAAATGAAAACAAAATTTTCTAGTAATATAACATATAAGTTTTTAAGACAATTAATCCAGGTATTTGTGGGAGGAAAAATCACAATTATAGGTAAAATTTAAAAAAAATATATATCTATATTTTCAATTTGTCAAGTTTTGTTTAATTGTATCTTAACAACCTTTACCTTTAAAGTGTTAACATTAACATATCATTCACTACAAAAATTGATCTCAGTTACATAAATTATTCTAGGAATATTATTGAGCCTGCTTCTTAAAACATTGTATTATTCATAACTTTGAGTAAAAAGTATGTAAATGAGTGTCCCCCTTTACTGATTTAAACTTAACATTTCTTGTACTATAATTATCAAATGTAGTAAAACAAACTTAAATAAATAATACTCAACTTTGTTTTACATTAGTGATTAAGATTTGATTAATTTTTTTTAAAACAAAAATCTGGGAAAACAGATAGGAAATGGATATGAATGAACAGAAAGATAAACTCAGTAACAGTATGAATGTAAGCAGCATATCTCTAAAATTTACTTCCTTCATTTAACTGGAGGCATGACCCTAAATATAGAATATATCCAAATTTAATAGTCCATGTTCAGCCTATATATACCTTAAATTCAGAAATTGTTGAGTGCATTTATTTATATTGAGATTTCGACATGACAGACCAAAATGCGAGTTCTTATTATTGTGATACTCACCAAATCGCAATATTCGCAATAATAAAAACCTTGCAATAATTTCTAAATTAACAGTAGGTAAAAAAAAATATCATCAAGCACACATAACCTCTTTAATCTTCACTATGATAAAAAATATACAAAAAAAGAGCAAATAAAAAATGATCAACAATATAATATCTAAAATATGCTAGTATGAATGAACCATTATTTGTTTTATTTTTATTTGTTTGTTTGCTGTCCAGTTGACATTTACCCAAGATCTCCTTTTATTTGAATCATTGCCTTAAATGATGATTTTTTTATACTAATTTGTAAAAAGAGCAGATATATGATGAGAGCCATAATCTGACATTAATAATTGCAAAAATAGTGAAATTCTTTTATTGATAAACTTTTAAGTTAAGTTAGTATTATTGATAGAGACATTTTTTAGTAAAGAAATGATAGTTGTGATGTTATAAATGATAAAATCATACTGATAAGTTAAAATTGTTTTATGGCACAATATTTTTTATGTAAAAAGTATAATGCATGTGATAATTGAAGAAACACACATAAATGTGGAATATCACCACAGAGACAGCAACCTGACAACAAAAGTTCATTAGACTAGACATTAAATGACCATCAAAGAGTAAATGAGCAGAATAAGAAGACTGAGTTTAAACAATTTAAGTTGACCTACAAATTCTCAATTGTTAAAGAACTTGAAAAGACAGCATCTATTACTGAGAAAATTTGTGACTTTAAAACAAGAATTTATGATGATGAGGGGGAGGGCATATGACCAAAACATTTAGTTTTGAGATTAGCCAACGTTACTACTATTATATCAATCAGTAGAGTAACAGAAAACAGAAATGGTAAGGTTAACCTAATTCTTATTGGGGTGTAAAGTACCCCTTGCATCAATTACTTTTTATGAAAACTTTATATTGCATTTTTTAGGCTCCATGATAGTTTCACCAGATGCCTTACCTCCAAGGGCTAAAGCTACCTATGATAAAGTGAAGAAGTTTATAAGGGAGGAAATCATGCCATTAGAAAAAGACCTGGACAAACACTCCCTACCCTCGGCAGATATGTGGAAAGTTCCTCCTGTTGTTGAAAAACTTAAGGTATTCAACACATTAATAAAATCGAAGGTTTATTGTAAAAATAATGTGGTGTTTGTCATCCATTTTAATATTCCCTTTTCAAACACTTAAAATTAGTGATACTACACAAATATGCAGGTATAAAGCTTGAATAAATCATACTTCTTTGTAAATCTTGATATACATATCTTTAGTATAAGATTATTTTGGCAGAAATAGAGTTAATATTTGGTATGTTAAATTTTGGCATATTGTTTCAATTTTGTTTATCATTTGCTGGCAACAGCCATCATTAAATTTCCTTTGAAATCAATCATATCATTGGTTGGAATTTTCATCCTCAGAGTTGAAAGGCTAATGATAAGTGTGAATTAACTATTGGCCATGGAGTCAACAATGATTTTTAAGATTCCAAGAGTGTGATTTTATAAAATAAGCTTTTTGTATTAGGTTCATATTTCAGAAGGTAGAAACTTAATGTCTCAGGGAGAGAACATATAAAACATGTTTTTTTGTTCATTTTAGGCTAAAGCAAAAGCCGAGAGACTCTGGAATTTATTTTTACCAAAAGAATCAGACCCAGAAGGACACTATGGAGCAGGATTTACTAATGTTGAATATGCATTTATGTGTGAAGAAATGGGGAAGTCTATGGCTGCACCTCTGGTAAGAACAACAAGTAATAATGTGGAAACATTTTTACGTTCAATTATGTGGGCGGAAATTTTCATTGATTTTGCTTTAAAAAGTATCTTATAGCAATAGATTTCCATGTGTTGTATGGTGTATGATACCAAAATATGTAATACTGGTAGTTGTTTTAATATTTGCTTTAAGATTCCTTTAAAGATAAGATTTTCATTATTTTATTCCATAAAGACTGTATGTTGACCTCTATAGATGTCTTTTGGTTTATTTGTGTCATTGGTTGCTGGGTACTACCATTTCCTTTTATTCACACAATTAAAGATACTTGGAGATTTACCTTTATATTGATGCATTATAGTTTAAAATATTTCATATCATTCTTGTCTCCTATACATGTACAACATATATCATCATACTTCATAGAAAATATGAATAATTTTTCATCAAAAATTATAATTTTATACAATATTTTAATTAACTCTGTTTATTATTCTACCTATGACAGTAGAGGCCATTATGTTTTCTGTTAACTCAAATAATTACAGCGCCCCCTTACGGTCATTGTCCTGTAGCAATCAAGTGAGTGAAATATAACGACTGGATTATTCGGGTAAGTTTTCTGGTCCAGTGCATCCATCCGTTATTTTGTCTGATCTTCCATCCCATATCAGGTTATAACTTTTGGTCCAGGTAGTTTATGATGAAGTTGTACTAACATCAACTTGAACTTAGAACACATGTTCATTATGATGGGATCTTTCTTAATTTTGGTCCAAATTACGTTTATGGCTCCAATTAAATGGTTCTCTGATAAAGTAACTCCAGTACTTTCTCAGGTTAACGTTTTTGCTGTTTGGTCGTGTTGTTGTCTCTTTGACACATTCTCCTTTTTCATTCTCAATATTCTTGGTTTCTTTGATATGTATGATGTGTATTATATACACTCTTTCTGGCCTACAAGGAATTTTGTATCTTTTATTTAATTTGTTATATGTGCAATTGATTATGTGTTTGTTGAACATAATCTGGTTCTTGACCAAAAATACAAAAATATTGAAATAATTCCTAACATTTATACCTTCATGTTATATATCATCCTTTTGAATTTGACAGGTATTTAACTGTAGTGCACCAGATACAGGTAACATGGAAGTTTTAGTGAAATATGGAACAGAGGAACAGAAGAGACAATGGCTAACTCCATTACTGAATGGTGAAATGAGGTCATGTTTTGGAATGACTGAACCTAATGTAAGTTTGTTTTATAAAATCAATGGTGTGTACAGTGTATTCCTCATTAATGTCTCTTACAGGGGGTTGTTTTAAGGCACAATATTATGATGTTTCTCAAAGTAAATGTAACAATATAGATTTCCTTATCATTAGATAATACTATTATCAGCTCATTACTTACAGGCTTCAAGAATTAGTAAGACTATTGTATAAATAATAATCTGAGTATAAAGGTTATCACTATTAACTATTTTAGGTGGCTTCCTCAGATGCTACAAATATCCAGTCATCAATTGTCAGGGATGGTAATCAGTATGTTATTAATGGTAGAAAATGGTGGACATCAGGTAAATAAAATGAATATTGCTTAAAATAGGACCATAACAGTTGAGGGTTTGAGTGGGAAGGGTTGGTAATCTATAAATTTTTAGTTTGCATGTCTCTATTTTTTATGAGGGTCTGGATGGGGTTCACAGTATAAAGAATGGGTAAATAAAAATGTAAGAAAAGAGAAAATAGGCCCTAAAAAAATGAGCTAGAGAACAATAGTCCAAAAAAATTAAGAAAAGAAAATAATTGGGTGCTAAGATATAAAGAATAACTAATATAGTAGATAGTTGATTTTCCTGTAAGTATTTATAAATTACTGTGAAAACTTTGTTTGAATAAAAAGAGATGTGGCATAAACAACAATGATACAGCTACCCAACAACATGTATTTGTGTACAACAATTTGCATTATGCCTGTACCAGGTCAGGAATATGACAGTTGTTATCCTTTTGTTTGATGTGTTTTGAGCTTTTGATTTTGCCATTTGATTATGGACTTTCCGTTTTGAATTTTTCCTCAGAGTTCTATATTTTTGTTATTTTACTTTTGTTTATAAAGTGCCCAAAATAATTGACATTTTATTTCTATTCATTATTGCAACAGCATAAAATTTTTTTTTATTTCTTTAGACATATATTTTATAGATATATTGTTTTTCAGGTGCCATGCATCCAGACTGTAAATTATGTATATTTATGGGGAAGACAAACCCAGATGCTCCTAAACATAAACAACAAAGTATGATATTGGTTCCCATGGATACACCAGGGGTAACTATTGTACGACCACTTACCGTATTTGGTTACCTTGACCAGCCAGGTTTGTATGAATTTTTTTCCCTTTTGAAACACCACATATAAGTTTGTAGGATTGGTTGCCTTGATTCATCAAGTTTGTAACTGATTATCTTTAGTTCCCATGGATACACCAGGAACATTAATTTATCAAGCTTCATGTGAGCATATTTTACAGTGTGATGTGATTTCACATGTATTGATCATCAACTTCCTGTTTATTGACTACTAATAGAAAAACAAAGGATACGGGGTATCAGAGTTCTCGATATGCAGTGGTCCTAGGGATTTGACCACCACATTTTTGGGAAGGACCAACACAATTTTGGTAATTTGCAATAGAAATGATAGTGAGGACCTGCATATTTTCTTCAAGGACCACCAGGCAAAAAAAGATTTCGAGAACTCTGGGGTATCCATTCATGACACACACAAAATCAGTACATGCACAGCAAAAAACACACAAAGAGCAAATGAACAGCGCTTTTATTACTGTTCTTCACTAAGACTTTTTACATATAATGGCCATGTATGAAGTTTCGTCACATTTTTTCAGAAGCCTATGAACCCAAGCTTCCTGAAATTTGGTATCAAGCTTCAAAGGAATATATAGTAGAGTGTGATGCATCTTACACATTTATACATCCATCAAACATCAACTTCTGTTTACCAAAATTGAAATTGCAAATACTTGAAGGGGATATAACCATTGATGAGCAATAGCTCAGAGTACATCTTGTTAAAATTGTTTTCTTTTATAAACCTTTTTTTTTCTTTTCTTTTCTTATTGATAGGCAATGACTCCTTTTGCTGTGGATTAATCACATACATCATGTTTTTTTAATAAGATGCATGCAGTGATTAATCACCAATTATTGGTTGAATTTATCAGTAAAAAAGTCAAGGAATAAATGTGACATTGAAAGTCATTGATTTTGTAATATTAAACAACCAATATATGCTTAAGACCCCTATCATCTAAAGCCTAAAATCATCTATAAGAAGAAAAATAAACAAAGGAAGAATTGGTAAAAAAGAAAAGGAAATAAACGAAATAATATTAAAATATTCTCATTGTATCTAAGAATCATCTATATCTTTGTACACACACCACAATAAGTAATAAATAAGCAAATGAATAATTACAAATCGTGAAAAAGATATTCCTATTGTTTTTTTTAGCTGGACATGCAGAAGTCTTATTTAAAGATGTGAGAGTCCCAGCAACAAATTTGTTACTAGGAGAAGGGAGAGGGTTTGAAATTGCTCAAGGTAGACTTGGTCCAGGGAGAATACATCATTGTATGAGACTGATAGGCCATGCAGAGAGGGCATTAGAACTTATGTTAGATAGGGTATGTATTGACATTTATCTGATAGGCCATGCAGAGAGGGCATTAGAACTTATGTTAGATAGAGCATGTATTTACATGCATTTCTTTTACTAGAGGGTGTTTAATGACCTTGACTACCCATGAGGGTCTGGCACGATCAGTATAATTTCTCTTATTCTGTGTGCATTATATCCCCTTCTGACCAGCTTGATAGATTTTGATAAACCACAAGTATATTGAATATTTGTCTCATAATTTCTCCATTCCTAACATTGCCCTGCGAAAAATATTTTTTATTCAATTTTGATCATAAAGTTTTATAAAGCTCAATTAACATTGCATTTTAAAGTTTTAAAATTTAACTATATGAAGTGGATAAATATTGTAATCCATGGTGTGGTGTTAAAGAATCTATGTATTTAATTAATGATATGGTCAGTCATTTCAACATCTACAATCTCCTGAGGTTTAACAGGTCCTATTTTAGCATGATCTTCTGATAAATATGTCCAGTTTAATAAAACTTGTTAAAATGTCAACTTGTTAAGAGAAAGACATATAATTATGTTGGCACCAGGTGGCCAAAGGTCAAGGTTACAATTACAAAATAAGTTTTAGCATCAATTTAAAACAATGTTGTTTGATTTCTTATTATACAATGCGGCGTTCACACAGTGCCGATTATGGCTCCCGTTTGAGATCAGACAGCGCTGGGACACAATAGGTGAAAAAGTCGGATAACTATCCTGAATGATCTGGAATGTCTTTTCATTGTCTGAACGCAGTCGAATACGTTCGTAGCAGATTCTTACGGATCGTGAATGGTCCAGAGAGGTCGGCCAACCACCCCGACAGTTAGATGCGTCCCGTAACATTCGGGAAAACGGTGGACGGTGTCCTGTAGAACGGGCATGATCTGGAGAAATTTGACATTGCTGTTTTTTTGCCGATTGAGTCCAGATTGCATCCAGATCTTGCCAAATGCGAACCGTCTTTGCCGAAACCGTTCCGTTATTAATATGAAATTCGTCAGAGTCCTGATCATCCCGAATATGGCGACAGTTTTCTAATGGATATCTATCGTCAGCAGCAGTTCACTGTCTAATCACTGTCAGATCTCTGTCGGATCACATTCGGTTGAAACCGGACACTGTCGGGACAGATTCGGTCGTTTTTAACCATGTGAAAGATACAAATCGGATTAAAATCTGATTGAGAAGGGGATAATCGGGACAAATTTGGCTGGAAATGGCTGAATAAGAACACTTCCTGAACAATATCTGATTGTTGCTGTGATTAAATAATTGTTTTTACAAATCTTAAAGTTTGAATTTCCAGCCACGATTCACAGGATCTTGATCAGACTTTTGACAAATTTTAATCGGGAATGGTCTTGTCAAGGCCGGCTGTAAAAATCGTGAATGTGTGACCCCAGCTTAAAACAAGTATCTAAATCAACCAGTTGCTCAAAAAGTATAATTTATAAAACATAGAATGCAAAAAGAATATTTCTACCCAACAGTTTACAAGCAGAAATTTCTTTACGATATTGTATCCCATAAGTTATTTTTGAACAATTTCAGACCCAAAACAGAGTGGCGTTCGGTAAACCATTGGCAGCTCAAGGAACAATACAGGCAGACATAGCTGAATCTAGGATTGAAATAGAACAAACAAGATTACTGGTCCTTAAAGCAGCTCATATGATGGATATGTATGGTAACAAGGTAAGACAGGGATCCAGTGTTGCTTAGGTAATCTAGTGTTACAGATAAGATGAGGTTCATTCAAGGTTACTGAATATCTATGGTGTGGTTTTAACTAAACTGTTTAGGGAATGGGGAGGAGAGGGCATTCAAAAATCCTAAGTCCATAAAAACAGACAACACCATGGCCAAAGGAAAAGACCAACCTCAGTCCACAAAACACTATACAGTAATCTAAAGATTGAGCCCCACCAAAAACTGAGTTCAAAGTTAAGTGCTCTGGAAGGGTCTGGAGTAGCTACAATTTGTGATGGGTTTGGTCTACTCAACTTGTGCTATTTTGACAAAATTCGCTTTATCCGATGTGTTCTGATGTGGCATAATACCACAACCAATGTAAGATGAGACATAGGAAAAAGATCCAATCATCTAAGATTTTACTTAGGGCATATAACTTACATCTAAGATATTGATAACAGAAGAGATCCATGAAGGATAAGATTCATGGAATAGGAACTAAATATCTTGGATGATTGAAATAGACAGTGGCTCAGGAAAGAGATAGGTTTCGATATGACCTAATTAGAGTTTGTGTTATTTCCCTTAGAAACCATTTTGGTGGTATAAATTGTTGATTTTCTTATTTTACTTACCAATTTGAAACATGTGGTACAAATAAGTCTGCTAAGAGATCCTTACTAGATTGTTGTGATCAATTAAGTAAGACTAAAAGAAATTACTATTGTTTAGAAAACAACTTTTCTTAAGTCTAGCAGTCCCGTATAACAAGTTTTATTTGGTTGATTTATGAAAAAGTTTGTGAATGTAGACCTCCAACATGACGACAGAAGGGAAGTAACTCTTGCTCAAATTGTGTTAATCGAAAACTATTTATACAACATCTAGGGTGTGGTGCAAAGAATTTACTTTTTGATAATATTTATCAATTTCATTCAAAATCATATATCATATGATGAAGAATGACAGAAAATAAATCCCTAATCAGTGTATAATATGTATGTGTCTGCATTATAGGTTGCAGCACCAGAAATAGCTATGATCAAAGTATCAGCTCCTAACATGGCACTCAGAGTAATAGACAGAGCTATACAGGTAATTAATTATTTAGTATCCATATCATATCCAAATCCTTATACAGCTTTGAAATTATTATTATTCAGCAAATTTTAGGTACTGCAGATCATTTTCATATCATTCCTATCATTGTTTTTCTCACTATTTTCCTTCATCGACAAGATATATATATACACACTAATAAATTATTTTTAAACTTAACTAACTAAGACTCCTATACAAATGTTAAACAGTTAAAATGAAAGACTTTCCAGTAAATCTTTCAATTAGATCCTTTTATGATAACTGTTTAAAACACACAAAAAAGTTAATGATTAACAGTGAACTTGTTCAAAGTTAATGTCACATCTCTTTCTAAAAAGCATGTACTGTGGATTCATTATTATTCGTTGGATACCAATTTTCATGGATTTCTTGTGCACAGATGAACCACGAAATTAAATGTTTAACGAATGAAAAAATTTCTATAGGCTTGTATGCAGACTTTGGCGAAACCACGAAATTAAACATCCACGAACATGTAAATTTTCCTTAATCCACGAAAATTGGTATCCACGAAAATAAATGAATCCACAGTAACTCTAATGCATTGTTGAGTAATTTAAACAAGTGTGTTCATACACCCGATATACACATGTTACTGGGAATAGTACTAATAAATCACTGTTATCATAAAGGGATCTACAAGGCCAGTTCAATGTTTTTATATTTCTTTTTATTGTATAGAAATTTTATTTTTAAGCTTCATAGATCACACTTTTCATATAAACCCATGATAAATTACAAATTTAATAACTTTATTAAGAAATGCACATTTATACCCTGAGGGGTTGAAGGCAAACAATACAACAATATACACAATGCAAATTTAATGATAAAAAAAACAACATGTGGTAAACCAAAATTTAAAAGTTTATTTTCAAATTTTGTAGAGTTATCTCCCATAACAATTGAACTGGCTTTTCTACTTTTTCATTTCAGTAGCACAGTTTTGATGAAACCATGTGTCATGATTTTCAATTTAATTACATTTCATTAATCATATTGGTCTCAATTTATTGAAATTTCAGTCCTTTGGAGGTGCTGGGTTATGTGACGACTATCCACTGGCTATGTTTTTTAGCTGGGGTAGGATTCTAAGATTAGCAGACGGTCCAGATGAGGTTCACAGACGTACTATTGCCAGAATAGAATACATGAAATTTAACAGTTCTAAGCTTTGATCAGGTGCGTTAGTCTGCTTGATCTGTGGTGGATTTTAAATACTAATTCTTGACTAACAACTTTTCATGTAGAGTTTTTTTGGCTTTTAGATTGTTGTTTAATCATTTTTTTATTCTTTTTTGTATTTATCTTTTTATTACCGGTAATCTGTTTTTAAGGAATATAGATATAGAATGGAAAAAAAATAAGAAATATAACAACTACTATAAAATTCTGAATTATTGATCAATGACAGCCTTATTGCTTCACCTCTTGGTGCTAAGCTATTAGTTTCATACGATATTCATGCCATCTTGAAATTATTACATACAATAATAGGTTCTCATTGGTTGCATTATGATGCTGGAAAGATTCTCTTGACTATAATGAAATATAGAATTAAGAACAAGTCCTGGGCAGGAGAAGATATTGAATACAGAAAAAATTACAGTATGGGTATTCAAAGATCCGATACAATACCTGATCAAAGAACAATTTTGCCTGGTGTACCTTGTTATATAATGTCGAGTCATTTCATGTTAATAAAATAGGGGAGGGGCAAGAATGAACATGTTTCTGAGTGCTCTTCTGACTATATATGCATATATTTAAACAATTAAGGTAGCTGGGTTGTCTAAATGTTCGATGATAGATTTTTCAAAAACTTCTGAGTCAATGCACTTTCAAATTTTAATATAAAAACAGGGGTCACATGCCTTATTTTTTCATTAAAATTCATTGAAATTAACGAAATCACAGTTATTTTATATGAGTTATATAGGGAAAACTTATTTTTTCCTTATTGAGTAAACATTAAACGATAGAATTGGTTAAAATTCAATGAGATAATTAGTTTTCACAAAGACTCTGAAATATCAAATAAAAATAGAGGGTCACTGCTCTTATTTTCTTGAAAAATCCAAAAGACACAAATTGTCCTATCAAATTCAATATAATTATCTGCCTTTGATTTTAAAAGGATTTTTTTGAAAAATTTATAATAACGACACTTAATTTTTTGATAGTTTAATCTATAAATTTCAAGTTTTATACGTTTCTGTTGTATAAAATGATACTTGGTAAAATATTTTTAAACCAAAAAGTATTTTTGCAACATGCCCTGAAGGGATGCTCAGAAAAAGACATCTGATCTACCTTGAAATACATATTACTGCCAATAATTTTCAAGAAATTTGTCAGAATACATGTATTCCATATTATAAAACCAAATGATGTATGAAAAAACAGCTATGTAAAGAGCACATGATAAACCCAAAATTATACATTAGAATTGTTGTTAAGAATTATCTGGAATATTAGATACATCCTTTTGTAAAATAGCTGTGTAGGTTATAAACATGCATGAGGATATCCATATGCTAATAGATCTTGTATCAAAAATGTCTATAAAAAAAACCTATAGCTCTTGAAACGACAAACCATAAAATTTTCAAAATCCAAATCAAGTCTATATTCACCAATACCATCAGTGTAAAGTTTGTAGTAAACTAGATCTAGTGCATGACATGTAGAATATTACCTTTTATTAATCGACCATCCCTTAACTGTTGAATTACAAATCATAAATTTTCAAAATCAAAAGGTATCTATAGAATATTGCCACCAAAGAACTTTGAAATCAAAAGGAAGCTTTCTTCTATCAATCCTAATGTTCCTTTTAAGTTTTGTGGGAATTGGTCAAAGTAAATTTGAGTTTTTATAGGAAGTTTTCATGGACAAATCTAAGACACGGCTTGTAATACCACACTAATGATTATATGCACAAAGAAGATAAATAACAAATTTCCCATACTTAAACAACCACACAAACAACACTTACTTAAAAGTATAATACAGAAAAGCACTCAAAAGCTTTTTAGAAAGATAAAACTTGTGGTAATCAATGTTTGCTCCATTACAACCTCTGTACCAGTTCAAAGTTTGGTTTTTGGTGAGGTTGGTTGCCCTCTATATTGAAGTCCTCAGCACTTCAAATGATTATCCATGATTTTGAACTTCATGTGTTTTATTTACTCTTTAACTTTCAGAGAAAAAATATATTTCTAATCTATAAAAAACAACTCAGCTTATATGTTAAAGTCACATTTTCTTTGTTTTCAAAACACGAAATTTAAACAAACACACCTTATCTAAAAACTTAAGATTTAAAGAAGCATAAACATTGGAGTGAAGTGTCTAAATTGTCCTCAAAATTGAAATGCAGTGATGCTAATGTGTTAGCATTTGAAACATCAAGGGTCAAGTATCAATGGTTCTTTTAACTTCCATATCAGAAAAAAAAAGCAAAAATATAGCCATTCTTTTATACGACCGCAAAAATTTTTTGCGGTCATATATTGGTATGACATTGGCGTCGTCGTCTGAAGACACATTGGTTTTCACACTACAACTTTAGTTTAAGAGAATGGATCTCTATGAAATTTTACCATAAGGTTAAATACCCCAAAAGGAAGGTTGGGATTGATTTTGGGGGTTATGGTACCAACAGTTAAGGAATTAGGGACCAAAAAGGGGCCAAAAAGAAGCATTTTCTAGTTTCCAGACTATAACTTGTGGAACGGTGTATGGATGTCTCTGAAATTATACCACAAGTTTCAATACAACAAAGGGATGGTTAGGATTTGCTTTGGGGGGTTATGGCTCAAACCGTTTAGGAATTAGAGGCAAAAAAAGGGGGAAAAACAAGGTTGTCCTGGTTAATGGACAAATACTTTAGTACAAAACATAATTTCAAGCAGTGTAAGGGAGATAAATCAAATACATCATTTGAATTACCTCCCTTACAATGCTTTTAAATTATGTATAAAGTAATGGTTAATGAACAATTATAAAGACAATTTAAAACAGTGTAAGGGAGGTAATCCAAATACAACGTTTTGATTACTTCCCTTACACTGCTTTCAAATTATGTTTAAAGAAATGCATATTTATAAAGGAAGACCAGTAAAAATATCTGCAAATGTTGCATCTTTTATTTTTTACAAAAAAATCCATATGAAAGATTTGACACCATATTTTAAATTCTATTATAAAATAGATTAAGTTAGCACTATGGTAGATTTAAATGGGTAATTATGGTTGCAAATTCCATTGGAAATTTGAATTGAGATTATGACCATATCTTGAGGGAAAGAATTTTTGGGGGGAAAAGGGGGGGAGGGTAAAAAGAAATTGTGGGGGGTCAATTTTTTCTCATTTCAGATTTCAGAAATTAAAAAGAATTATTCTTGAAATATTTTTTTTTTTTCAAATTTCAAATATTGAAAAATTTCAAGAAGTAATCTTTAATTGCACAGTATGGCGCATTAGATTTGTAAAATCTTTGACCACATTTATTTATTTGTTATGCTGAATCTGACCGTGTATTTAGATTTTTAATTTTGGGTGCAGTTTTCAAATTGGTCTACATTCCGGTCCAAAGGGTCCAAAATTAAACTTAGTTTGATTTTAACAAAAATTGAATATATGGGGTTCTTTGATATGCTGAATCTAACCATGTATTTAGATTTTTTATTTGTTGGCCCTGCTATCAAATTGGTTCATATTGAGGTCAAAAGGGTCCAAAATTAAACTTTGTTTGATTTCATCAAAAATTTAATTATTGGGGTTCTTTGATATGCCAAATCTAACCGTGTATTTAGATTTTTAATTTTGGGTCCCGTTTTTATACGACCGCAAAAATTGAAAATTTTTTGGTCGTATATTGGTATGACGTTGGCGTCGTCGTCGTCGTCGTCGTCGTTGTCGTCGTCGTCGTCGTCGTCGTCCGGCGTCGTCTGGCGTCGTCCGAAGAC